TTCCTCTTCGGCACAAAAATACCATTTCTGCTATTATAACTACGAAAAAAAAGACAATAGTAACACCAATAATCACAATAACAATTTGCCAAGGAGGATTTATAAGTTCTGTATCGGTTATTATAGCCGCAATCAACACTATAGAGCAAGCAATAGTCACATAAGTAATCAATTTATTTGTTAGCGGTAAGCGCCTAGTTACTATAACTACTACTATAACTGCGACAAGCACCACATAACAAGCTATGGTTAAACAAATAATTAATGTAACTGGTGGTGGTTGGGAACAACTCGACTCTCCAGGTCTAAAGATGGTTACCCAGTTTTGACACGGCAGATCGAATAAATAAATATACGGATTAGTATCTTTCGAGTCAGTTTCATCATTAGTGATGTTGCCTTTATTTCAAGATAAAGATACAATTTAATTTTATTTATAATAACAGATAATAATAATAACAAATAAGATAATAATTACCAAAAGCAACGATCATATAATTTTGATATAAATTTACAGTATGGGGCTAAGGTTAAGTATTAGGTGGCCGGAATTGTATTACCGGTTATTTCTAGATAAGGGTCAGGTCTTTGTATTCAAGCATTAAAAATCTGATTGTTACAAGTGTTACTTGAATTTCGTTTGTTTGTCGTATTTTAATTTGGTACGCCTGTCCGTTATTGTCGTATTTTAGATTGTAGTAATAGTATTGTTTTTTAAGTCTTTCTAAAATATTGTCTGGTAATTTTGATAGGTCAATTACTTTGGGGTATTTTTCTAATACTGTCGCTACTTTAGCTCTGTCATTTTTATCGAAGATTGTTAGATATTTGTATCCCATATAGAGGTGGTCGAAATTCATAAGTTGTTTTTCTATTCGTTTTAGTGGTGCTATTTGTTTTTGAATTAAAGTTTTGAATAATCGTCCTCTTTTAATTTGCTTTGAGGTTATGTCTTCTTTATTAGCCATGATACTTTCAAATTCTCCTAATGTTAATGGTTCAAGGTTTTCTTCGTCTGATTCGGAGTCTATTCCTTCAAATAATTTGTTAAACGTTTTCTTAGGATTTATTATTCTATATTGATGTGCTGTTTTTATTTTATTTATATATTCTAATGTCGGATAGTCTTCTATTCTTTTGAATATATACCATAGGTTTTGTAATACCATTGGTACAAGGGGTAATTGTTGCTCTTCTATTTGTTTTAAAGAGTATAATTTCCATGGTCCTAAGGTTTCGGGTTCAGTATTTTTGGGGATTTCTTCATTATTTAGTCGAAAAATAAATAGTCCTAATGTTATAAAGTATTTCGCTTCTTCGGGATTACATCCTGTTGCTATCCATTCTTCAGTAGAATAGTATGAGTTTTCTTGGATTTTTATAAGGTTACTATTTTTTATTACTAATTCTGATTCTTCAAATATTTCTCTTAAAGCTGTTACTTCTATAATCTCCTTTGGCAATCCATTCTGGTCTAGTTTTCCTTTTCCACCCATTCCATTGTATGTTCCATAAAAGCTTTTATTTGGGTTGATTCTTTGTGCTAATAAAATATATGCTTCTTCATTTATCATTGTAAATCCTATCGCTTGAGTCATTATTCTATTTGGTAATTGGTATGGGTCATGTAAGAATACTGGTTTATTGAGGTATGCTAATAACTCAGGGTTTGAGTAAGTTGTCATGTCGTTTTGTGGCTGGTCCTTTTGGTTCAATTTTTCCTCGCATCTGTTTAATTCTTGGTTCAACAGTCCTCCATTGATTACAATCTCGTTCCCAAATTGTTGCATGATATCTCCTAAAGTTTTCCCAGGTTTGTCCTCCAGATTTCCAATATTCTCGGCTTATGCTTATCCCTGTTCTTTTCTTATAGATTTCTTCAAGGTGTCTTTTATAGCTTTCTTGTCTACACTGTCTTTCGTATTCTTCGAAAGTTTTTCCTACGTTCTTCTTTTATTTCTTCAAGTGTTGTTTTGTAAAATTTTGCTCCTACGTAGAATCCTACTGCTGTTATGTATATAGCGTGTATTTGGTTTTCAAGTTCTCTTTGGTA